GCGTTGAGCTGGTCCTGGAACTCGTCGAATCTTTTGTCACGGGTGCTATCCCCAGTGTGCGACGTTGCCGCTCACCCCCCCCCCCAGCCGCTGGACGGTGAGGAGGTACCCACTCCTTGTCCCTAGTTTGCCGGGGTAAGGGACGTTGGGTCCTCTTCTTCTTCTTCTTCTTGTTCAACAGTTGCTCCATCATTTCTCTTAGAGAATCGATGGTCGCCTGCTGTTCCTCCAGCTTTTGAGCCATTGCCTGCTCGGTGTTGAGTTCGGTCATGTGCACCCTCGCCTGCGCGTCTTGACTTGAGCGCGAGGTCTGAGATGTGGTCGCCGCCGAATGAACCTCATCTTCACCGCAGGAGGGGGGTACCAGGGTGGAGTAATCAAACCCAATGCTTGCCCCCCTGCGACTACGCGTTCGCTGGAATATGCCGTCTTGACGGCGTCGAGCGAACCGAGTGTTAGGTCTCAGGACGGAGTCCGAGTCTGGCGAGTCGGAGAGTACCGCCTTCCCCTTATCCATTATGTTAACCGTGGCGGATGAGAGCTCTAGGTCGTCAGCAGCGCGTCCTTTTTGGTGACGACGCCTTTGACGGGAGGGCCTTAGTCGAGAGGACTGTTGTGACAGTCTCTCGAACACCGAAGGTCAGTCGGCGAGGCCCGTGTGGATGAGTCTCTCGCAGTGGCACTGAGGATTCGCCTCCTGCATAGTGCGTTTGCGAGTTAAGTATTCCCTAAGGTCTTCTGTGGGCGGTTGGTGACAACCCCCAGCTTCAGAAGAGTCGCTCGGGTGAGCGCATGAGAGATTTTTGGACGCACTCTCTGGTGCGCGTTGGGTGGAATGCTTTGGTGCTGGAGTTGGGCGATCTCGCCTTGACTGGCGAGTCTTCGCGTTTGAGCGAGCTCCAGTACGTAGGCGGGTTTCAACCCTTCGTTTGGAAGAGTCGCCTACCTCTCTACCTTTACATTTATCCGCTACCTTTACGTTTATCCGCCAGATGGCGAGGCTCGCCAGCCTTCGAGGATTCGCCTACTCGGGTAGGCTCGCTCGCTCGAGGAGATCTATTCGCATCAGGGATGTGACCTGAGAAGCGAAGTTCTCCTGGGCGGGCGGCCCTGCCTTCCTCGGTCGGCGCTCCTGACTTGGAGAGCCTTCCGACGTCGGGCAGTTTGCCTTCTCGTCTAGTGTTTCTCGGGCCTGTATGATGGTTCAGGCCGTTGTGAGAAACGGAGGTTTGGACCTCCTGTCTGATGACCATACATTGTTCAGAGACGTCCCGCTGTTCCTTCGTACCGTCAGCGGTCATTCGAAGAGTTGTGCTCTGTATCACGTCGAGCGTTTGCCGCCGCTGCTGGCTAGCTCTCCCAGCGAGGAGAGCGTCACCGCGGGCTACGGCAGTGCAGTTTGTGTCGGAGTGAACCGGCGCTTCCTCCGAGGCAGGTGTCTGCGTGGACCGTTTGGCGATCCATTTGGCAGATCCTTGCCTCTTGCGCTCGATCTCTGGCTTGGCCTTGATCGATTGCGAGGGAGTGGGTTCCCCCGATGAAACTCGGGTGGAATCCTCAGGCGCAGAGGCTTTGACCGTTTGAGGTCGGCCTTGGCGCACGACTCTGTGGCGTTTGCGGGACGCATCGCCACCAGAGGATGAGGAAGACAAGTACTCTTCGTACTTGGCCTGGTCGAACTCAATCTCCAGGGACTCTACAGTCGTCCCGACAGCAACTTCATCAAATTGAGACACCACCATTTCGTTCGATGAAACAGCTCCTCCCACTGTGGTCGCCATCTTCTGTATGATGTAAATTTGATTTCCCGAATGGTTACAACAGAAGCAGAGGGAATGCCCTCTTTGTTTTGTGTGGGGACTTTAGGTGGCTATAGGACGCTTCGCTCGATGCTCGTGTCGAGTCTGCTTCCCTTGGACCGTTCGATCGAAGTTGCTGGAGAGCTTCAGTTCGCAGTAGAAGCTCGAATCGATGGAGTTCGGGTCTGCTTAGTTCACCGGCGATCGGAGCTCAGAACTAGGCAGTGTTGCTGTAATGCAAGGGTCTGCTAACAGCTTGGTCTTAATTACTTTTCTCCAAGTTTTTACGACCCCCTCCTCCAATGTGCTGGAAGGGGCTTTTAAATGGAAGAAGGACAGCTTGACTACTCCTTGAATTATGGGATGTGACCATACATTGTTTGGAGACGTCCCGCTGTTCCTTCGTACCGTCAGCGGTCATTCGAAGAACTGTGCTCTGTGTCACGTTTCGTAAGAGTGGGAAAGCCCCTCCTCGTATGCGTGACAACGGCTGTCAGATGCTTGCGTGGATCTGACCAAACACCGAGCGCCGGCGGCTCTCATCCCCTCGCTTGGACAACTGAGGTGAGCCGCATTTATGAGGGCGAACGCCGGCGGATTCGTCTCCCGACTTAGATAGCCGATGTGAGTCGCATTTATAACCGTTCAGGTCGACTCGACACCTGTCCAGTCCTTCGCACTGCAAGTACTGTGAGCGGCCGCCTGGCGGTCTTGGAGTACTGTGCCCTCTCCCTTCAGGTCGAGAGAGGTGGGAAAGCCTATCTCCGTACGTGGGGTAGCGGATACCCAGCTGTACTGACGGCCTGGAGGTTTGCAGGCGGATTCGACTTTGGACTCGGGCAGGCGAGTCGCGTGAAAGGCGAACTTCCGCTATTCCAACTGATCTCAACTTGTGCAAGCGAGTCGGTTATTCAGGCGAATCTGGAACCGAGCACGTTTGACGACCATGTGGCTTAGGCATGTGACTTCTTGTGGGCGAATTTCCTGTAGGCTTATTAGAGGTATTTTTTACCGTCTACAGTTGTGAAAGTTGCAAACATCAGGAGGGGGATTTATTGTTATTTACCCTTTATTTAAAGAGAAACTGTGAGGTATGTAACCTCTCATAATGCTTCGTTAAAAATATAATAGTGGCACAAGATACAAAGAAATGTTAAGAACGCAAATATATACATGAAGCTCACATATATAAAATGATCCCTCAAGAGAGAAGAAACAAAAGATACGTAATACGGGTGTATCTTATCTTCGGAACTTAGCGATCCTCATGGGAACTTAAGGATAGATGATTCTCATGATAGCATGAGAATAGGGGTGTAAAACAGTACAGTGGAACGTAGGTGGAAGCGTGGAACGAGACGACGAGCAGCAGATTCGAAGAATCCAGTTTTCAGCTCGTGAGTCGACTCATACATGTACATGAGTCGACTCATCAGGTTCAGTCGACTCATACCTGTCATGAGTCGACTCACGAAATCCAGCCGTTTTGCCAAAAGTCTCTGACCAGTCGACCTGCGTGCTTATGAGTTGACCCATGTGTCATGAGTCGACTCATCTCAGTTATGAGTCGACTCATTGCTGGTTTTTGTGTTTTGTCCAGTTTTGGATGAGTCGACTCATCTCAGTCATGAGTCGACTCATCGATAGTTTCCTGTTTCGTTTGGGTTTCTGTTTGCACGAATTCCTGTTGGGGTTTGGTCTGGTTATTTACCAAATTGCTATCCACGTTTGTACAACTATATAAAGGGTTGTTTAGGGTTTCTAAAGATCATCTTAGATCGGAGAGAAATTCTAATCATGTATTAGGTTTTAGAGAGGATTGAGAGGTTGTTCTCGATTCTAGTGAGATTGTGAGGGGGAGATTTATAATAATTGATTTTTCATAATCTAGAGAAGGTATTTTCCTTCGCCATATTGAATTGTTCTTGTGTTTTAGTTGTTTTCTTCTCAACCCAACTTTTGGTAATTCCGCGACCAAAGGGTGCTCGCACAGCGACTCGTATCAATACGCAACATGTTCATGTCCTAATTAGAATTTGTGACTTATAACTTTTGTTGTTGTTGTTGTCGTGTGGATCCTTTCATATTTATATTAACAAGTTTGTGAGATTAAGGCATGCATAGGTCTAATTATAATTACCTTAGTATATAATGATTTTCATTGAAGTAAATTATAATATCATTAAGCTCCTGCATTGCGCATTTTGTGACCCTCATTTGCACATATCCAAATTATCTTTATCAAGTTTATCTCCTTTCGTTCTTAATAGGTTGGTGCAATATCTGACCTTCGGAGAAATGCATGCATTTCTTATCGTATTACTGCTAGCCGAAGAAAACATTAGCTCAAAGCATCTTATATAGAATTTGAAGGACTTATGAGCAACTTGAGAGATATGAGGAACTGAAATGCAATTATTGAATATTTGAGGGACTTGTTCTAAATAACCCGCCTTATTTTTTACGGGAAAAGAGTTGGTTCCGCAGAACGATTTTTTTTCGCAAAATCTTTGTGGTGCTGAAATTGGGCAGATTAGCAAATACATAGTTAAGTTCTTCAAAGGTTACATCATTCAAAATAGTTGGGGTTATCAACCCCTTCTATTTTGGTCTCACGGGTTTGTCGAACTCGTCTGTTTTAATGATATATTCGAATTAGATGTGATTGAAAACCTCGACTAATTAGAAAAATTATATATATTTTAAATCGACACAATGTCAGCCACACGCATGATTGATAAGACATAAACCGGGTTGAATTTTGTTAATAAAAACGAAGCGAATCAAAATTTGGAAATAAATCGTAAATTTGGTCTATTTCAAAAATTTATCCAATAAAAACAAACAACAGTCTAAAACAGGAAGATATCCAAAAGAGGGGTCCTAAAATAACATTTTATTATACTGCATGAATTATTTCGAAAACTACCTTATTATGATCATCATTATCATTAATGTTAGAAAACCTGAGTCGAACAAAAACCGGGTATAATCAAAGCCAAACCCGACCCATCTTCTGAACTAAGGCCCAATCCTCTCTCCGACCGCCCGCCCACCGTAATTTTATTAGGCCTTGTTATCTTGGACAATAGTTCCCATTCGAAGCCCAAGGCTTTTTGCTCGTAGAAACGCCCTTCACGGTTAAAAAGGATATGAGACGGAGCCGGGTCGGGTTTATAACAGCAGAACCTGAACTCGACCCATTATAATCGAAGAGAGGATCGCCTCGACTCCGCCATCTCTCTCTTCTCCCCCTCTAAAGCCCTAATCCCTAAATCATTAACCTAACAAATTTCAACAGAAAAATCTTGCGATTCCGAGGTTCGATCTTGCATCCTTTCTTCTCTCCTCTTTTCAAGTTTGAGTTTTCTGTTCGTTTTGTTTTAATTGTTTTATCTCAAATTTTCAGTTTGTAGATGCATTGAGGATTACTACACGTGCTAAGTTATTTTGGGGGAAGCTAGGGTTTGTGGAATGGGGGCGCTGACGACTTTAACAAAGTGGATCCCTGAGGACGACCTCTTGTTGAAGAATGCTGTTGAGGTAATCTTTAATTTTCCATTTCTTTAAACACCCCGTTCATTTTTTTCTTTTGTTCGAAAGAACCAATGTAACTAGAGATATTAGAGTAATTTTCAATCTTTATTTACTGTGACCAATTTCCTGTATTAGAAAAAAGTTTGTGTGGGATTGTGAGGTTTGCATACCTTTGATTGATCGATGATCGATCTGCTTTGCTCTACCCTGTGGTGGTTATTGGAGACAGGATCATACAGTTTGTGAACCAGATGATGTAACAGGAGCAACACGTTTTTATTTTGCATCATGCAGTTACGTCTAAAGTGGGGCAAGCAGTATTGGACCTTCTCAGGTTCTGTTGCGTAGGTGTCTTGTTTGAAGAGCTTGTTTATTGTTGAACTTTTCCTAGTTGGTTAGTCTATCACCTATTACTCCATTATGCTTCTTATTCTAAAGCCTTCACGGATAGTATGGCTCACTGATCAATATTATTATTTCGTAAGAGTCTTAACCCTTGTCATCACTTGTGGGGGACTTTACAAATTGATGGTTTTAGGGATTCATTTGTTTTTTTAATTATTTTTGCTCATTCTGTGGAGTATGGACGTGCATGGGCAGCGAACATCTTCATGCCTTTTCTAAAGGTAGAATGTGGGGACACATTACTATTTGCTTGTTAACTACATTCTGATTATCAGGTTTAAAAACAGACAAAGTATTCTAAGTAAATAACTTTATTTCTAACCGTCAGTTTTGGAATAGGGATCTCGGTTGTAATTTATTGTTTGACACTGTAGCAAACCTTCATGGCAGATGATACTGATATCAGCATGAGTTTGTGGTTGAGCTTTACACACTTATCTTTGAACTCTTGTTTTTTGCTTTATTTACTATGTTTGGTTGTTTAAATTAATCTTTCCGATCTCAATGTACTAAGGCAGTTCCTTGGTGCTTTTATGCTCGTAGGGAGGTGCTTCTTTGGAGTCATTGGCTAAAGGCGCAGTTCAGTTTTCACGCCGATTTACTATTCGTGAACTGCAAGACCGATGGCGCTCTCTTCTCTATGACCTTGATACCTCAACAGAAGCGTCAGCTCGAATTGTTGAGATTGAGATTGAACTTGCTGCATCAAATCTCCCGAAACCTAACCGAGCTTGCAATTCTAATTTTAAAGGAAATGAAGCATCCTCTGGGAAAAGGAGATCAGATAGTGTTCGGAGCCATTACTATGCCATGCGAAAGAGAATACGGAGTGAACCTTGTGCTTCCAGTGCAAGCTTGCTTATGCCACCTGCTTACCTTGCTGATAATGGCTATGATAATGGTCTCATGGATCAAACAAAATTTCAAAATAAGCAATCAGTTGATAACTTTGCTCTTCAAATGCCCTGCTCAAATGATTTTGGACATCCCGAAACAGGGTATGATAGTGGGCATCATACTTTTGATAAGCTGATGAGAGTTGATTCTACTGTTACCAATGTTCCTCACCAGTTATATCACCCAGAACATGTGGGCTCAGTTGAAGATGAAATTCGAGATGGCGCATCACGCGAGGCTTATTTATACGGAATTACAGGTGCAGAAAATATAACTTCTGCACAATGTGATGAAGCAGAATTTAACAATGGAAACAAGTCTTCTGAACATAACTTCCAACAGAGAGATTTTCCCAATATACTTGGAGAAAATCTTATTTCCGAGAATTCCCCAGATGTTCATGAAATCTGCCAGTCAAATGCTTTAGATAGCCCGTATAAAAATGACAGTATTGGAACCAAAGCCCTATCAGGTTTTGATTCATCTAATAACAACCATGAAGTTCGTTGCTATGATTCTGTCAGAAATGATAACTTAAGTTCACGTGTTCCCGACTCTAGTCATTCATTCCACCAGTTTGGATATTCATCTCCGTCGTCTGGCTTACCTATCTGGAGGACTATGGAGGACATTGCGACTCCTACAATGCCAATGGATGGGCATTGCACAGAAAAAGATCCAAGAGTACTCAACATGGATGGTCATGAGAATATTGATGCACCACAGCGTGATGTTTCTATGCCAGAACCTAAGTTAGACACTGGAATGTCTGGCTCAGGATTAAATAACCCAGCAATCATGCCTGAAAACGAATTTATGGATTTTTCTGAAACTTATATGGATTTTGATAATGATGAGAGTTTTCTTTTCATTGATGTGGATGAAAAAGATGATACAGATAGGCCTTGTCTTGGTCTAAGCTCCATTTTGTTGAGTTCTCCTAGTGGCTCGCAACATGGTATAGCTGATTCAAATGATTTAGGAACAACCAATGTTTCTGAGACATGCCTTGGAATTCCTGATGCAGCATACCCTGAAAAACCTGTTGTTCTCCGTGATAAGATGCACTCTAGCTTGCATAATGATGAGAATACTTCTGCTGCTGATGTCAATATTCCATCTACATCCACACAGACACCTAAAACAGCTGAACCTCGACAGGAGTTTATGATCTGTGCATTAAACATGCAAGATCTTGAAGTCCCAGATAACGACCATATCATTTTTCCTGACCATGGATGTTCACCATTCTCTTCTAATCCTGAGCAATTGGATAGGGAAACTGGTAGATCCTTGTCTGTCAGTGTCTCAGCAATCGATGGGAGGGGTCCTGTTGGAGATTTAAACAAATTAAAGGAACACACAACAAATGCACAATCCTTGAGTATGTCTAAACTAGGGGTGATACATACATGTGATGGTTGTGCTGTGGAAACTGAGTCATTTAGTCGTCGTTCTATGGCTGGAGGGTCCAGATGTGCAGGTGCTAGTGTTGGTGAACCAAAGCCTTCCAATTCAGATACTGCAGTTCTAAACTCTGCACCAGTAGCTGCATTGGAAGAAGAAAACACTGACCTTGCTTTTGATAATCAGGACAACCCTGATACTTCATTTGCATCCTTTCTAGAAACTCACCTACAAGATGCTGATGATGTTAAACCTCATCCAACTGAAAGTCATCCGGAGGAAGAAAATATGCAAGCTTCACATCGGACGTGCCTGCTACCAGATGCGAATCTGGTTTCTGGGCTATCAGATACAGCAGCAGTTATCTCAACTTCCGACAAAGAGGAGCAATTTTCTGAAAGCGAAGATGATGTTCCTTACTTTTCTGACATTGAGGCTATGGTAAAAGTTTTTAACTTGATATTTGTAGGGTCTTCTGATCATGTATCCTGTCAGTACGTTTTTCCATCTATTTTTTTCCTTCTGTTGTGGTCTGTAAAGATAATATCTGACGTTCTGCAGATACTTGATATGGACTTGGGTACATATGATGAGGAATCATGTCTGTTCTCCAAAGAAGGTAGTCAGTACTTTTAATCTCAGGAAGCGCTCGGTATTTTTTTGAGCACTTGGCCCCTCTTCATATTAGTTCTTTATTAGCTATCTAGTGAATGACTTGCAGAAAATTACATTAAATTGTGTTTGTGCCTGCAATATAAAATCATTTTGATGCCATAATTTCTCCATGACTTACACAATCAGTACAAACTACAAATATGCATAATTATAGTCTGAATTTCAGTTTCTAAATAGATACATCGTCCTTTGCTAATAGACATTATGGTATAATGGAAGCAATCTTTCCCCCTTCTTCCAGAGACAACCCTTCTTATTAATGCTTCTCATCATAAAATCAGGTCAAGTCAATTGCTGCTTTCTCATCTTTCCCATATCTCTTTGGTCTCCAGAAAACATTGTTCCAAAGTTTCCCTTCTGCAATCTGTTTCCATTCTTGACATAGGTCATACTGAGTTCCCTTGCAATTGCACTTTCGCTGTACCTTCCCATTCTTCGTCGAGTAAAATCGTGGAGATACTGCTCTTTTTGCTATTCTCATCAGCCGTTCTTTATTGAAGCTAGCGTAATATCCTAGCAGAATTATGGGCAAGGTTTTAAAGGTCAGATATTAGGGAAATACTGAATGACTAAAACTATATCGAATTGCAGATGTCGGGGAAATATAGTAAATATCACAATGTCTTACAGGATGATGTGCATATATAATGTAATGTCCTAAAATGTGATTTAAACATATTTAATGAAATCTAAGCATACAAAAGTGTAATAGGATTACTAACTAAATGTAGAAACGTATTTGGGGACAAGTTCCTAGTAGAATTTGCTATAAAACGTAATAGCGCTGGAATTTTTACTTAAAAAAAATTAAATAAATTTCGCAAAATTATTTTCTTTTCCTACAAGCCATATAAAAGGACATCAGCCAACATAGATATGTTGATATATCGGGCATGTTGGGGATATATAGCCCAAAATTTACAAAAAAGTGGTAAAAGATATCGAAAACACATCACTTGGCGGCTAGCCTTATAAAAGGATATATTGGCTAATATATCAGTTATATCGGGTATATTTAAAACAATAATTATGGGATATGATTATGCCATCCTTTTAAATGTTTTTTTATGTATGCCCGCCACTGGTATGATACATTTATTTCTATGTGTCTCTTGGCTATGTTGTGGGTCAGGAGTGAGAAAATTGTGATTTATTCGCTTAATATATCATGGAATTATCCTAGGGTTGCAAATGAAACTAAATAATCATTTTTCTATGGAGATATGGTAGTCATATATGGGGCATTTCTGTGAACACAATATAAATGAACTTAATGAGCAAGGGAAAAGACTTCTGGGGACGCATTTAACTAAATGTCTCATACAGGCCTTTATTCATGAGGACATAATAAACTGGAAGTGAAATGAACTAACAAAGTTCTATTTAACATTTTAATTTTCTATGACGTATAAATAGAAATTATGACGTAATTGTTAGTTCATCTTCTTTGAGTGCTTTCTCTCTGTTAATGCAATGCATTTCCACGCTATCATTAGTATATTGTAAAATCTCTTTTTCTTTTTTTATGTTCAGTATCAAGATATCAGCACATGGATATGAAAAACACCATTAGGTGGGAGCAAGGTTTTCTTTCTCACATAAATAGGTCCATTTCATCTCACGGTGCTTTTGCTGTTTTCTATGGCCGGCATTTGAAGTATTTTATCAGAGACCCTGAGGTAATTATATAACCAGGCTGTGCTGTTTATCCAATTCATCTTTGATATCTTATTAGTCATGCTCGGTTATGCTCCATGTACTCTGGACTTGTCTTGTCCAACTTAGAACATAAAGTGGCTTTTCTTGCATTTTATCCTAGTTATGCTACAAGGAAAGCTGGTCAAAGCATTTTAATGAAGATATTTCTGTAAAAAGTTATGTATGATATGAAATCAGTTAACAATCGTAAAAGGTTCATTGTATTTTACCTTTGGCATCTTGGTTTGTAATATTAATTTAAAAGTCCTCAAAGTTCCCAATTTCTTATCCTTTCATATTTTAAGGAGGGTTGGGGAGGGGGAATTAGTATGTATACATTTTTATCATAATAAACGGTAACCATCCCCTCCTGATCCCTCTGTTTACAAGATGACTAAGCTAGCAAGCCATGAATCTCAAACTAACATTGAGGGTTGGACGACATCTAGTCGCAAATTCAATCTTAGAAACAGGTTGTTCATTCATGGAAAAAGTCTTCCATGAGATGGGATCATGGGAGTATTCAAATAAACAGAATATGCTAGAATTATAAGCCTACATACCATAAGATAATTGCTTTATGTAAATTATGGTTTATGTTCAGTGGTTGGATGGGAATTTTTATTGTTAAAAGTTTTCTATAATTATTTTTAATTTGAGCTAAACAGAAAATTCTGTATGATAGGTAGTTTGAGATCTTGTAGTCATGTATACAAAGTAAATGTAAAACTAAGCCATTCACTGTCTAATAGATGACTTGTCAAATGTTTATGGTATGATGGTTTTGCGGTATTACTGCATTTTAAGTACAAGGAATTGATTCAATAGCAGTGAGTAAATGAAGGTAACTAATTACCATAGTCTAGTTGAGCATAGCATTAGGTTGTTTTGATATGGATATTCCTACAAAATAAATGGGTTTGTTGAACTATTGAGTACTAGTTGTTACAAAGAGGCTACAACGTGAATGTAGTGAATGATTTCAAGTTATTATCATGTAGCAGTATCTTACATGATACATGGCCCATATAGGTGAATCAAACTTGCTTGTATTGTACTTTGATGCTGGTTTTGTTTGTAGATCCTGTAAGTTTACTACAGTTAAATATTTGCAAATACCCTGAAGGTACCAGAACAAAGTGATACACCAGATAGTTTATTTTAAGAAGGAACTCTAGAGCCAATTAAAACGAGGGAATGCGAATTACTGGGTACCTAGACCGAGTCTCGACTCTAATAAATATAGATCAGTCTCAAAGAAGCAAAGTAGGATGGACTAGATAGAAGGTATTCAAATAGAATAAGAGTGGGAAGGTAAGAAGCTGGGTAGAATTTGCTTTGAAAAAAACAAAGGGGCATCTTAGTCTCATTCCTTGAACACCATCTGAGGTTTCACATCTCTGAAATGTATCTCCTAATGGCTAATGTAGTTGATGTTTCATTGATTTCAATCCCATTTATAGGTATTAGAAAAGAGCCTAAGAGCTAAACAGAACCTTTAACTGTAGAATACTGTCTCATGAACTCTAATCACAGATTCACAATTTTCGCTTCCGGCTACTGTTTGTATTTTTTTTTCTAATCTAAGTTAACAAGAACCCCTGCTGCCTCAAAGTCAAGTTTAATTAAATTTTAAAATTCTATATGCTATTTACAGTAAATCATGCCAATCAATTGGTTTTAGATGTTTGGAGTTTCATTGAGCTAAAAGAGCAAAAATGTTAAAACTAGATAAGTATTAAAATTAAAACAAAGATTACAAGTTAAACAACATCAACTTGAGTTTGATTACCACACGCGATACATTCTGCTGTATGATTCTGTCTATTAATTTAGCTAGCAGCCTATGTTTCTTCCTAAGAAGTACATGCTTCAAACGCTGTGGATCGTTCACCTACATCTGCATGGATTTGCTAATTTTAAAATCTTTGAACCTTGTATACTAAATACTTTGTTGATTTTTTCCTCTTCGACATGGATCATTGGAAATTTGTAGGTATCAGTTGGAAGAGAAACAAAAGATGCAAAAGTTGATATTGACTTGGGAAGAGAAGGACGGGCTAATAAAATATCTCGACGGCAGGTAGATCTAATTGTTTTTTAGTAAGTGGATATGTAATTTACAGTTTAAAATTTAATTTGTCAGCAAAATTATGTTCCTCCACGGCCTTCAACATGGAACTTGACTCTGATAGAACACCTAAAAGAATAACCGTTTTGCTTTTAAAATTTCTCAAGAAGCGGATTTCTGTAGCTCTTTTTAGCTAAAGCTTGTATAACTTGGCTAAGGACAACCTTAATTATTCTTATATATTTTCTTTGCAAAAGTTCTATTTAAACTCTCTGCAATATGCAGACATTTATTTTCAAATGGCTACACCAGATCTCAAGTGTTTGTGATCCTCTTTATCTGACAGGCAATTATTAAGATGGATGAAGAGGGATCATTTACCCTAAAGAACATTGGCAAGTTTTCAATCTTTGTCAATGGTAAGGAAGTGCCTGCAAAAAAGCAGATAAATCTACTCTCACATTCTCTCATTAAGGTATGTGGATACTCCTTTTGTTGCCAACTTGTTATAAAGTTCTTTCCTAGGAAGTACTATATTTCATACTTATGTAGGTGCAGTTGTTTTCCCTTCAAGAACCTTATGATTTCATTACTTTTGGGGGTTGAGCAAAACGGTAACTGTTATTTAGTTGTATATCCAGTACTGCACATAGCCTTGTGCACTTGTAAAGGTCATTGCAGATTACAAGAAATGCGAGTCTGGTTCACATGCCAGGGAGATAAGTGTGCATCATGTCCCCAGGCTAGAGTTATGTGCATATACTTGTCTCTCACTCTTGAGATCGATATCTTGAGGTTTGTGAGGATTTGGAAGCTAACTTCAAATACCACTGATAATCAAACAAAGAATCTATTTTAATTAAAGTTGATGTAGAAATTTCTGTTAATGTGACAATCAAAGTTTTCTTGTTTATGTGTTAAATAATAAAATAGATGGTTCAAAATACAAGTAACATCATACATAGTTAGATCTATGGTTTAAGATATACAAATTGAGAATTAAAATCATGGACTAGGATTTGTGTACTTTTGAAGTTCTAACACCATAGTTTTTGGTTTTTGACGAATCCTAAACTGTAGATCTAAAACTCATCTCTTTTAAGGTGTTGTACATGTGTCTACCGATGCAGAGGAAAGAGTTCAATCATTTTCCTTTGGTCCTTTGGGCAATTTTGACGACGTAAATTAGTGTAATTGGGGTGGTCTTTTATTTGGTTTTTTATTAGTAAATTTGAGTAAGTAGGATTTGCTTCCAAAACGTTCATGAAGCATCAAGTGCATTTATAAGAAATTTGTGCTGTCTGACATGGAAAGAAACGAGCCAGAATCAATTGTATTGTTTAAACATGTGCAAAGGGGACTATTGTGTTTTGTATTTGCTAAAGACTTTTGTGCAATCGTGACCTCATAATATTTTTGTGTTTTGCATTTTTCTAAAGATTTATGTGTTTTGCATTTGCTGTCTGTGACTAGCCTTTGTGCAATTATGAATGGTCATGTGCACTTTGTGAAATCTTGACTTCGTAATAAACCATTTTTTTCAGTCTTGGAAGGATGCAACAAATGAAAATAGGTCATGAGTTTCTCTCAACAAATGAAAATAGGTCATGAGTTTCTCTCAGTACTAGAATTTTGACTCTCTATTAATAGGATGATAAAATTTGCTATGGTGGCAAGTATCTATTATCACTATCCTATGTGACAATGTCTTATTGGTTTGTGCCAATGTCTTAATGTCTTATTAACAAGTTCCATTCACACCCGTCACCCGAAACGAAGATTTTAAATATCGGTTATCGGGGATTTATCGGACGGTCAAAATCCATATCGAATAGCGAATATTGGGGATATATAGGGGATAAGTAGTATTTATCGGAGTGACATCATTGGATGGTGATATACATAATATAATATTTTAAAATATAACCTAACCATACTTAATGAAATATAAGCATACTGAAATGTAAATAATTATGTTTAGGATCACTAACCAATGGCAGAATCTCAGGTCGGGTCGGGTTAAAAAACTCAAACCAAAGTTCGATAATTCTGATTTTTGGGCTGATAATATCGGCTGATAACTCACTTTATCGTCGCATTATCGGCGATAAACATTAAAAAAATGATACGATTTAGAATTAAACTTATCATAGCGAAAGGCCCCAAAACCGATAAATCGCGATAATATCGGTTGATATTTAAAACATTGCCCCAAACCGAAACTGACAAATCTATTGAGTGAAAATACCAAAGTATTTACATCATTTTTTAAGTATTTATAAAACATGATTTGTGAAACTAGTGACTGTAAATAGTAAGAAACGTGTTACTGGATTTATAGTTTGCGAAAGATCAGAGGGGTTTTGTGAAACAAATAAAGTATTATAATTTATCGTACGTAAAATTCAAGCCTCATATCTAACTCCTACCATTCATGTAGTAATTTGGTAACAATCAAAATATACTTGGTTATACAGTTGTACCTTGCCTTATGCTAGGATTGGTCCCTATATTGAAGATAGTATACTTAACCAATAAGACAATGCCGCACAGGATAATGATAAGAGATACTTGCCATCGTGGTAAGTTATGTCATCCTATTGAAAAAGAATCAAAATTCTAATACTGATAAAAATTCATGGCCTACTTTCATTTGTTGCATCCTTCCAAGACTATGATAAAGGTGTCTTTATTATGAGGCACGATCGCACAAAGGACACATGATCATTTATTATTACACAAAGGCAGCCATGAGCAACAAATGCAAAACACAAAAGCCTTTACGGAAGTTTCGTTCACATCCTTCACCTAGGATTGACATTGAAACTAATAAATATATAGAGTGAAAGAACTAAAGTATTTACAACGTCACTCTATTATTTGTAAATCATGGCTTGTAAGACCATGGCTATAAATAGCAATAAATATGTTACTGGATCTAAATTTGTGAAAGATCAGAGGGGTTATGTGAGATAAATAAAGTTTAAAGGGTTAATGTGCAACACCCCCAAAGTTCAAGGGGAGTGGGGTTAGCGAAACTATCCCTAAAATGAATAAAGTGAAAAAACATATGTTCATATGTTAGTGAAAACGAACATAGTGATTTGTTTGTTTTTTACTGGTGAAAAAAAAGTGTATAGTAGATTACAGGCTGTGCTTCCTGTCCTGTCCTCTCAAGACAGAGAGAAACAAAAAGTGAGGGAGAGAGTCGGGAGAAGGGGAGAAGGAGAGAGAGAAGGAACCCAGAGACGAACATATTTTTTAAGCTTTAAAAAGAATTATGACCTATTCACTAAGATTTGTGCCTGTAATTTACCGACATCAGTTGTTACACGTTCTGCATAAAACCTTCTGCTTAAATTTTTTGATGCAACCGGTTTTGAGAGGATTTGCACTCATTTATGTTGTCGCTTTTAATTATTGTGTTGAAACTTGCACACTTTGAACCTAAGCTTGTTGAGATGACTGATTTAGTGCTGTAATATTTTAGTAAGTATGAAATTGAAATTAAGCTAATTAGTAAATACATGTCTCGTAGTTTCCCCTACTTCGCTGCCCACAGAGAGAGGGGGTGAGGCGTGTTTGGGTCTTTCGGCTGGCGGGCGGGGGGGGGGGGCGCTTATGCTACCCCGTACCTCATGCATCCCCTCCTAACATATGTAATTACAACAAATTCTTCTTTGAATTTCATTTAATTTGGATCGATTTGCCACTTTGTATGAATTGAGACTAATAACTAAGTAAATCAAAGTTGCATATGTTATTGCTTACTCATAAGTGGAGTGGATATAATTCTCCTAGCTGAGTCTTTTTTTTTGTTTTTTTCAATATTGGTCCCTTAACTCTGTCATATTTTGAAATATCCCTTTAATTCATTGAAATTGATAATAGATCCCCAATTCTCAAGTTATTTCAAAATTAGCCCATCAAATCATTGAGATTGCTATTAGGTTCCCCAACTCGTAAGTTGTTTTAAGTTAATTACTTTAATAAGTTCTTTTAAGTTAATTACTTTAATAAGTTGTTTTAAATTAATTTCTTTGATTCCTATTTCTACTCTTGATTGGAGAGACTAATTCAAAATACTTAAAAATTGGAGGATCTAATAGCGATTTAAATAATTTGGGGATTTATTTCAAAATATGAAAGATATAATGGACTAATATAGAAAAACCCATTTTCCATATTGATAGTTGATGGTTGCCTGCTTTCTCTGGATTATTTATGCTTATTTTTGTCATTCTATCCAAATATAAATCCTTCTTGAGGATAATATTACATAAGTAGATGGTTGTTGAGTACTTAGACTTGTCTATGATAGAGGCTGTAATATCTTGGAGCAATAGTTTACACATTTTATATACAACATTACATATATAACATTTTAAACTGTTAAAGCTATGGTAACTGAACTCACATAAAATACATTTATATAATTTCCCTTATTTTCATAAACTAGTTTAAACAACACAAATAGGTTTCTGATCTCACCCCTCGCACTAATATTTGTTAGGTCTCAAACGTTATAAACTGTTAAGCAACTATCTTGTTCTTTGGATCGTTTATTTGGAGTAATATTTCATATGATGTTTCGTTTGTGTTCATAAATCCAAGTTAAAGATGCCATTTGCTGTTCTTTAAGTAAATATATTTACAAAGTTACAGTACTAAGTCTTTGGATGTATGATCATCCTAAACGGCATTTGATTATTGATGGCAGATTCAGGACATGCACTTTGCATTCGAAGTGAATGAGAGTGCAGTTAGAAATCACATCAAGAGACAAAGAAGCCGAGGAGAGAGTGCATTTCGGTTTGACTGGAAATCTGAGCAGAACCCGTGAGCTCTTGCACTTCTTCAAAGCCTGCTCTAATATAATTTTCTTGTGTTTGTTTCATGCGGAGCTACGAAGAATATTCGAAAATTCATGTGGAGCCACGAAGAATATTCGAAAACAATGTGTTGCCTTTTGGAGCGGATTTGCAAGAGTAATACTCTCTCCAACCCAAAGATGAGTGACACACTGTATGTATATATGATAGGGATTTGCAAATTATTCTGATAATATGTTTTTTTTCCCTCCTCCTGAGCATGTCACAAATTACTTGGTCCACGACGAGTCATTATGCACTAATTAGGTGGGTTCTAGTTCAGAATTGCGGAGCTTTATCATATATCTATCACAGCTATAAGAGAAAAAAAAAGATGGGAATAAGTTTTAAGATTTCGCCGTAATCGTGTTTTGTTTAGTGGTAAGCGTAGGTCTTCCTTAACAGTGTGAGCTGCATGGAGAACAGCAAAGGTCAAAGTTATCACGTAGACATGAGAAATCGCATAAATTGGTTGAAGTTTTATTTTTCCTTTTCCCGTAAACCATTAACTCGTTTGAGAACGTTTGTAATCCAAGCTATGAGATTTGTCTCGTCTATGTGATACTTCTCCATTGGTGGGTTATCTTTACGTCAGGACGTAGGGAAATTCCTGTGCGTAGTATAGTAGAAAATCCCTATATCAAGAAGTTTGTTAAATTGGTGGGTCGGTCTTAGTCAACTTATTGTGGTCAATATTGTGTGATGGGCGATGGTTATCTTATAGAAAGTTTCTTCAATTGGTCTTGTAAAAAATGTTGTTGATTGTTTAGTTTATTTCTCCCCCTTGTACACTCTTGTTTGATGAGCATGGGATTAAAGTTTTATTTCGTTTGCAAGCGCAGCAACATCCTGTGCATGTGGTTAATGCGGCAGCTTCATGTGTTCAGCCGTAACATGATGTTGGGTACTTCGCTATCAGGCCCTCATATCTACAATAATTCCATGATGTTGGGTGCATGTTAGTCCTCAAATGTAATATCCCAAAGTTTTCAGACGCTTTGATGCCAAAATTCACAGCTCTTTTCTGACTTTGATACAAACCATTTTTTTTTTCCCTTGACACTTTGCTGAGTTTAACTTTGATACCCAAAATGTTGCTATTGCAACTGTGATACGCACAAACATGGGTTAGGGTATCAAAGTGAAAAATATGTGAACTTCAACATATCAAAGTCAGAAAATGCGAATCTATGGAGTATGAATGTTTAAATATGTGTAAATTTTGGGGGTGTCATAGTGTTTTAAAAACTTTAGGTTATCAAAGATAAAAGGTGGTTTGGGGAATAGGATTCATTAACCAAGGTCGGCGGTAACGAGCTGAGATTAAGCTATGAGGTCCCTTTACTTGAGGTAGACGAGTGTATTAATATTGAACAAGTGGTAGATATGTCACTATTCTGTTAGTCAAGGCCGTTGTGGTATTTACTTGTCGAGCAAATAAATCCACGTGTCAAGATCTGACTGGTAGAGGAAGATTCATCTAACATGTGTTGTGATCGGAAAAATTATGAAAGATAGTAATTAGTGAGATTGATTATCGATTTGATATCTTCTAACATGGTATGTTGAGGATAAGATATGATTAAAATTAAATTAGAATGACACTGAAAGCGGCAAAAAAAAGGGATATTATAAACTAAAGGGTAGATTGTACATAACTTCTCAATTATAAACTAAAGGGTAGATTGTACATAACTTCTCAATTATTAAGGGCGTGTTCAGATTTCAATGGAGATAAGGTAAGTAAAGGAAAACTAGGGGAGAGAAGAGTAGGGAAATTAAGAGAGTTCCCTTTTGCTCCATTACACCCAAAAAATTTTTCTTTTTCATGTTTTTGGGTTGGGGGTGGGGTGGGGTGGTGTATTTTTTGAGCTATTGAGGGTGAACTAAAATGAAGTAGGAGTAACTCTTCACCTATAAAAACCTATCCAAACAGGGTGTGTCTTCCTTGCCTTCCCCTCTCCCTTATTCACCTCAATCTAAATAGGGCCTAAGGAGGAGTGTTAAGGGTTAATAAATGGAAAATGATAGGGGCACACCCCCAACCACACCTCCAACCATAACCCCTCTCTCATTTGCTACAGTGCACCGAGCCTCACACGAGATTTTAAATTTTTAAAATCCCATGTGGGACCTGGTGTACTGTAGCAAATGAGAGAGGGGGTGTGGTTGGAAGTGTGGTTGGAGGTGTGTCCCTAGTGCCACCCTTAATAAATAGCTTAGAGTGTTAAGTGCAATTGAAGGTAAAGATGAGCCAGTTATATATGATTTATCTTAATCTAAGTTTGTTATAAAATATAGTAATTTTCAAATTTTTTGTAAACTTTCGGACGTAGATTTGAAATAACTTTAAGAATATTAAGTATTGCATCGAGTTGCACACAACCTTTTACAAATATAGTCTTTGTTAATGTAGTTTCTGCATGTATAAAATTCAGCATACTTTTGCCTGAACACCAAGTTCAATTTGGCACGTGCATTACACGTGCCCCTCCTCACTAGTCTTATAAAAAAATTAGGTTAGCAAGTAGTGAATATGATGAGGTGTAGGATTAAATTAGGCTAAATTGCATTCAAATACCGAAACATTTCTCTTATTTGTCATGTATATACTGCAAGTTGTATTTAGCGGCAGAAATATGCTATATAAGTTGTTAAAAAATCGGCACATTAGTACTATAGATCATGCAAACGTGAAAATTTACAGACGAAGGTTATTCTATGATGCTCACATGCTAAATTTAAATCTTTTTATTTATTAATATTTATTAAATTTGTTATTAAATCAATCAAAGTACTTTTTCAAACTTATCTTAAATCCACTTTAAAATAGAGCTAGGATATGTCTAATGATAAATTTAGCAGATATTAACGGTTAGAAAGTTATAAAATTGATATGTTGGTGTCATACAGGAACATTCGGGTGAAAAATTTCACGTTTGCATAATGGATGATACTAACATGCTAATTTTTTTAAACTATTTATGATATTTTTCTGTTACAAAATACAAACTTATGATATATAACTATATAAGTGACAGAATGAGAGAACATTGTGTTATTTAGGTATAATTTAGCATTAAAGCATTTGTTTACACGGTCGTCCATTTATGCTATTTGTTTATAGCTAGATTTTCATTCAAGTGTCATTTAGTTACTGTTTAGTGCCGCAGTCCATTTAGCTTATTTGACAATAAACTGGAAACCAACGCGATGAGCCGTTCGTTGACCGTGTCATAAATCCCGGGGCAGCTTGTTCGACCCGACGCCCACCGTACTTCATTTCCGCGAAATTTCTCGTGTTAATTACTTGCTTACACGATGCTCAGCTCGATCCTCTATATATTTTATCATCAACCCCACGAATTGAGACAGAGAGATGGCGATGAGGGGGCATGCTTTCGCTGCGATTGCTCTTTTCCTGTTGTTGGCGTTATTGGGCACGAGTCCTTGCTACAGTGTGAGATTAGCTCGTCTTCCTCCTCTTGCCAGCGACCATCCTACGCCGATACTCGTTGCGAAGGAGTCGGTCACCGTGAGTTTGAGGAGGAGGATCGGACGCCCTCCTCCGCACCGCCTGCTAAAAACCCGCAGATCCAAATACTTTCCGCCGGCCAAGCCCGTTTTTCTGCCGCCCGCCGCCCCCACCGGTTTGTTAGATGGATAGTATGAGAATGGTCCTAGTTTAAGGGGATTGTGTTTGCTTTTTTATTCCCACCAGTGAAGCTTGATGATGCATGGGCGTGATGAGATTGTAGGTCTAATTGCTTCGTGCTTTTCTTTGTACGTTAATAGTTCGTTTTTTGATCTGTTCATTGGTAACGCCCTCCGTCCATGGAGGGCCATGGAAAAGAGAGAAACGAGCTCACTAGCATGTTTGTGTAAAACATATCATACCTTTATGTATATTCTAATTACTATATGAACATACAATAATAAAGCGGAAGCAATAAAATGGATCGATTATTGTACCTCCAGCCATTACTATTTAAAACCTTAAATTATCTTTGAGAAGGCCCCAAAAGATTGCTAATCTGAACTTTGGTTCCAAACCCTCACTTCTCACTTTTAGATGGTGTAGAAAATTTATGGAGAGTAGATTTGGTGACCTTTTTCAAAAATTACTATCACTTATTTATACCACTCTAGCCATCATAGAGTAGTTACCAATAGAAGAAAATGTGGGTGGTTTCCTAAAGGTGGGAGAGAACATGGGTTAATTACCTTGATCATTGGCAACTTCCCACTAAATAGATCATAATCTTTTTCCATAATTAATAAATAATATTAATTATTATACTAAATAAAAAAAACTTCTTACATTTTGGAGTCCGCGTCTTTTCGTACGTGCATGACTATGATTTATATCTTGTGTAACTAACACGCTCACTTCCAATGCTGAGTTCGGGAGCTCACTAACATGTTTGGATAAAGGGTAAATAGAGAAACAAGAAGAGAAATTTAATTTTAACATTGTTTAAAAATTCTATTTAAGGAAATTTGGGGTGTAAGATATTTTTGCTCAAATTTCCTCTCATTCCCCTCTTGTATGAAACGACCAAACAAGATTAAAATTAGATTTCTCTTCCCCTCCCTTTCTTTCCTCTACATCCAACAGGCCATAAGTAATCTCTCAAACATAGCATAAGAAAAAATAAAAGAAGAAGACTCCTCAATTTCTCCTCCTTTACCCCCTTCCACCAAATAACGTTAGGAGGATTTTTTAAAACCATCCGTTTTTGAAATTTATTTTCAAAAAACGACCCATTTCAACCTTAATTTCAAAAACCGACCCAGTTGGATAAAACTGGGTCGGTTTTTGAAAAAAAATTCCTAAAATTCACAAAGTTAAACTCCCGTGAAGTTTTTTCTCATAACAAAACTTCACGAGAGTTCAACTCCCATGAAGTTTGAATTTTTTTTTCCAAATACCGACCCAATTTCAACCAACTGGGTCGGTTTTTAAAATTAAAATTGAAATGAATCGTTTTTTAAAAATAAATTTTAAAAACGGATGGTTTTGAAAATTTGTACAATAAGGTTACTCTCAAATTTGTCTCCTCCTCCGTCCAAACACAGCATAAATGATTGAACTGAACTCTTTGATCTTTCACGATCTCCATCCACCGGATTACTGTGATTTGCTGAGAACCGATTTCCTCTCACTAGTTCAATACAAGAGAGTTTGAAAATCAGTGGCTTCAAAAAATCTCTTTCACCAATATATTTTTTTTTGTTCACTCAGCTCAAAGTTATTGACGGTTAAGCGTAATTAGCCCTAAAATTAAAGCTAATTAATCCAGGTTGAATGCTAATATCCCCCCAACATTTTCTTCAACTTTTCCACTCCTACTTCATTTACCCATATCGTAAGAGTTACTTATGCGATACGCCAGATCCTATTAAAATTGTCCCAAAATCAGAAAATCCTCTACTTCATAAAATTTTTAATATTAACACAAGGAAAAAAATTGAAGAGTAAAAATAAAATAAATAAGAAAAAGATGTACTTATGCCTAGTAGAGACTAGCATCAAAGGGGTAGAGGAGGAGACAGATCCCCCCCCTTCTCCTCTGAAGAACACAAGAACTTGATTTCCGAACAAAATAACACCTCCGATGCCATTGGTTTTTGAGCAAAGGGGCTGCCTGAATAATTGCTCGTGTTCTGTTTTCCCTCAGAAACCAAAGGTTTTCAAAAAAAACAATAATAATCGATAAAATAAAGAAAAATAGTTGAGGAACAAGACTCGGGAGAAAATCGGAGAATGAGAGTCATTACCGTCAACGAAGGAGGCTGCGACCCTTCTGAGATAACAGAAGATATATATAGAGACCGTGCCCTAGTTGTTTACCAGCGAAATGACAGAAGTACCCCTGAGCTTGATAGGTACTGTCAAGGAAGGCTTCGCGTTTGGCCTCTCATGTAGAATGCGCCCATCCTATTATTTAACACTTTCTGGACGAATTTTCAAAACCAACATATTGGAAATATTTGATCCTAAAAAAAAAAATCTGTTTTGAACTTATTTTTAAAAATCGATTTGGTTTCAGCCCTGGAGCTGAAACCAGATTGGTTTTTAAAATTTTTTTTTTAAAACTTCACGGGAGTTGAACTCCCGTGAAGTTTCAAAATTTTTTTTGAACTATGAAACTTCACGGGAGTTCCAACTCCCTTAAAGTTTCACAGCTTTACTAAACTTCACGGGAATTCAACTCCTGTGAAGTTTCAGAAGTTTTTTCACAAAAACCGATCTAGTTTCAACGTCAAGACTGAAACCAAGTCGATTTTTGCAAATAAGTTCAAAACAGGTCATTTTTTGGGGATTAAATGTTCAAATAGGATGGTTTTGAAAATTTGTCCAACACTTTCTTTTTAGGATCTTTTTTGCATATATATCACTCGTATCTTTAATATTTACAAATTTGCCCCTCACGTCTCAATATCTGTAAATTTGCCCCTCAAAACTAGCATATCGGGTCTCTCTACCGGTCCAACTTAAAAATGTTAGCTTTTTTTTAAACAAGGCAGTGTTACTGTATAAACTTTGGAATCGGCTTAACCCCGAGGACGGGTTTCTGACTTTCAAACTAGCAAAACTCCAACCTAGTTCATGTAAATTAGTTGCCAACAGTAGAGCTTTACATTTGACAGTGACGCATTTTTCTAGCATTTAGCATTAAAATCTACCAAAATACATACAAGCATACGAGTCTTAAAAACTAACCTAGACTCTACGCCAACAAAACGACTATTGGACCACGCATTCTGAGTACTCTCTATCAAATCAACTCAATTCTCACGTCCATGGCATAGATCCTTAACTTGATATTATTTTGGATTTATGATACTTTTCTCTACTCTGTGAACAACCAGAAGTCAATCCTCCACCTATAAGAGGGATGCCATACGAAACCATCGGAAGCACTCCTACTCATAAAAAGAACAAAGAGAAATCATAAGGATTTCCTCGATCGATATGGCTCCGATCGTGTTTGCTGCAAGTATTCCCGACTACAAGGAGCTGATGAAGAGAAACGAGGAGCTGAAGAGAGAGGTCAGCGAGGGGAAGGAGAGGGAGGAGAGAATGAAGGAGGAGCTTGCGACAATGAGGCAGAGGCTGAGGATGGTTGAGGAGGCCGAAGAAAGGCTCTGCTCTGAGCTTGGAGATCTCGAGGCTGAGGCCGTCATACAAGCCAGGGCCTACAAGTTGCAGATCAAGTATCTCTGTGACCAGCTCAAGCTCTCTCGCGGGATTCTTGGCTCGACCGGATAACCACAAACTGAATCCCCGAAAAAAAAACAGTTTTTTTTCTCGTTATCCCTTTCTATGCACCATCTTTCCCCCCTGATTTGTGTATAGATATGAGAGATAAACTTGTACTTAACCCGAAGGCCGAAAGGAACACCCTACGGATTTCTGATTCTTACTCCCATCATACAAGCATATAGTAAATCGAGACAAGATCTTGCTGTTCGTTATACATGAATACAAATTCAATATATTTTTCAGCTTTGATTTGATGAGTATTTGTGTTATGCACAAAATTTTGAATATGCTTCACAAGGAAAAGAGCATTAAGAAGTTAGCGCTTGAGCTCGTGTAAAAACAAACGCACCTCCTCCACCAACGGACCGGCCCAGGAGCATGTCACGATCCAGATATGAAAGGTAATACAGCCCACCAGGCGAACGTCTGGGGGAAAAAAGAAACCGTTCAGAGACTTATAAGAGGTTTGAAACAATCAGCAATGTAGAAGATTTTACCTTTCTGGACTCCTCACAGGCACCTGCGCTCTGAAAGTTCTGATGAACTGTAAGATCTGCAATATCAAATGTAACCTCCATCATATAAAAGGTAGTAAGGATACGGAAGCAATATATGAAGCCGATCACCATGAATGACGCTATAGACTGGACGTGGCATACAAAACAACAGGTGATATCACTTCCGTGTTTTGCTGACTTTTAAGTAGAATTAACCAGCAGGTCCATGGTGTTGCTATTTTATGTAAAAAAAAAGAAGGGAAAATTGATATTTGCATCAAAGGATTGTGTTACTAGATCTACCTGAAGGCTTAAAAATGATCGAGGAAGTATCGCTGGAGCTATCAAGGCTTGAAGCTGTTCGCTGATTTTGATATTCTCAACAGCTACCTGTGAGGAAAAGATTGAGTACTGGAATAAAACCCTGAATTCAACAAATGACAGGGACAAAACTATGTTCTGAGACTTTGATTAAAAAACCTAAGATGCATATAACAATAAACAGTCACTGCCAGAACAAAGCTGTCGGACACTGTATTAGGTTCACAAAATGTATCCATGTCCATATTAGTTTCACAACTCACTGCAGTTAGCTAAGTCATGCATCGTCACATTACATTGTGTATAGTTGCAAATATCTCTCCAGCTGCTGCCACAAGTGCATAGACCAGGACTGTAACTGAAGTATACATATATTAGCTCCATTCCCTAATTCTCCATTTTAAAGTACTTGCCATTAGAGCTTACAGAACAAACATCATAACACCGGAGTACCAGAAGAAAGCAAGTGCCAGCAGCTCAGATTATAATCAGGTTGAAAAGTAGTATTTTTCAAGGTGGTTTCACCAATATCTACATATACTTGAGAATGTGCAAATACATAGGCTGTGATGATTTCATAAAGATAAAAAAATAATTATAATGTGCAAATACATTCCAAGTCTCTTGTTACTTCTGATATTATTTTTTAAAGAAAACAACTAAATCCTGACATACACAAATAAATAGGTACCTCTTCAAACTGAAGATATATGTTGCGGTTGGAAAGAAGTGAAAACTTTGCAGAAACCAGCAACGTGGCACCTTCTTGCTCCTGTCATCAAAACTTAAAAGAACTAAGCCAACTGAAAAATGAAAAATGCAAAGAAAGAGGTAACTATAGAGGATGATGCTGTAAGCAAATAGAACAGTTCCAGTTCTAGTTCCATGTGCAATTAACTTTGTTATATACATATGGATGGATGCAGTTCTTTCCACTGAGAAGAAGTAAGTATTGAGGACTATCTGACATGAGAAAAGAGAGTTATCTCGCATGACAACCAGCCAAGTATCTGATACAATATCATCTTCATCATATTGGCCTTTCCATCATAGTAGGATCAGCTACGGAGCAGAAAGTTCCTTGAAAAATATGAGTTGTAATGACTGCCAACTTGGAATCAACCCTTTAAAATAAGTACATTATATTAAAATAATGTATGCTATATCGTAATCGTATATAGTTAGAACATGTCTATGCTATTTAAAACTGATATGTAATGATTTAAGTTTTGCCACCTTACATAATGCGAAATAACGAATTATAGTGCATTTTACCACACTGAAACCAGCTATGTTAGAATTGGCAACATTCACGAAAGGATTAATGTGACCGCGGGGGACAAAAGGGGGCCCACCCACGTGGGCAGTCACCCACAAGCTGCCTGAGCGCTCGCTTGCTTGCGCGCGCACGCAAGTCCGCTCGCCCCCCCGCTTCGAGCCCTGCGCCAGTGCCCACGTCGTGGTCGCACGCACGAAGGACGAGGACGTGCGCTGCCAGCCCACGTCGAGCTCCGTGCTCGTGTCCTGCTTCCCGCGCGCGCGTTCCTTTTCTTCCCGCGTTTCTTCGCCCGCCAAAATTTCTGCCTTGCCCCCTTGCCCTTCTATAAATAGAGAAGGGGTGGAGGAGTTATAGTGGGGAAATTAGCGGGGAAAAATATCTCAAGTGGAGTTTTGAGAGAAAAGAAAGAGAGGAAGAGAGAACGTGTATAAGTTTGGTATTTTTCCTTCATAGTGAAACCCCCTCCCGTGGACGTAGGCGAGTTAGCCGAACCACGTAAATCTTGTGTTTGTATTTGTCTTATCTGTGAGTTGCCATAGCTTGTAGGTTCCCTCGACATTTCAGTCCTAGAACTGATGAGAGGAAGAGTGTATATTTTACTTTGATGAAATATATCACTTTCGATTTTTATTTCCTTTGAGAAATAAGAATTTCACTATCTATTCTAGTTTCCTTTGAGAAACAAGAATATAGAGGTTGACTTGTGCTTTTGTGACAACAAAAACCAGGGCTATCTCTCAGTTGATATCGCTTCCGCGGCGTGAGGGCGTGACTCTGCGCCCAACAATTAACATCAGCAGATAATCTAGTAACTAAAAGCACATTTCATTAGCTCCTAATTTATGAAATCTATGCTCTAAATTCCTCCCCATCAAATCATTTGGAACAACAAAAGCAAGTCAACAACATCATTTTTTACCATGGACATGAGGTGAGTCCTACTTAACTTATAATGAAATTCAACAGAAACCCTTCGGCGTCCTCTAGAGTAACGTGTAGATGACATCCTTGCAAAAGAAACAATTTCTACGAGGCATTCTATCAACTAATAATCAGCATGCATTCACATGCATCAACAGACTCAACTCTTACATTAAGAGTTTGCATTTTGAAGATACAGATTTCAAACTTAAGGAATGATTATTTTAGAGAGATCTTATTCTTATATTTTAGCATAATTTGGGACAAGCAACCAGTCCAAAATCATAATATAGACGGGGACACTTAACAATAAGTTGTCCAATTTGTTAAGCAAAATCAGTTGCACGAGTCAGTGCAGAAATTTTTTTATACTTTTTTATACAGTACCTATATCCGAAATCAGTGCACATAAGTTGCTTGGTTTACGCCATTGTTAATTTGCATCTGAAACATTTGACGAAAATCAGTCCATACACTTGTCAGCTCCTAACCAATTTGAATGGCGCAAAAACAAAATCTGCTGCTTAAACAAATACATGATCCATAAAATCCTGTCTTCAACTAATTCAAACTCGAATACATGATTACGGTACTTGTATCAGCTATTGAGGACAATGAGCAAAGTGCTCTCAATTTTTATAGCTTGATGTGCATAATCAAGACAAAATGTTGAACTGATTAATAGATGTTTTGAATGTACATGACGAAGTATAGTATTTAAATAAAAACAATCCTCTAAACAACAACTTCAATTCTTTCTCGCAGTTCATAGATTGAAGCATAGGATATTTCTTCGACTTTACCTTAAAATCCACCAAAACATCACATGGACCCTTTCAAAACATAGATTTACATCAAAACACAGTTGTTCCTGTTAGCCGATTACAGCTAATGCGCATAATTATGTACGTGTTCTAGTGTCCAATGCAATAAGATTGTGACTATTGCATAAACAGCTTTATGCAGGCATATAGAACTAAACACATTCTTAACTCGCAGATACGCATTGTATAGAAGTTAAACTCAACGTGTAGCTCTATCGGACATAAGCATGCGCTCAACTAACATACTGACGCGTGTAAAAAAAATCCAATGTCGCAAAGAGATCTTTCTTACCTCCAAGAGGTTCTGTATGCTCCATCGCACGACATTACGCACAATTCCTCCATCGACCCGATCTCTGCATTCAAACTTCTGGAAAATTTGCCCCACCTACATGAATAATAATTCATAATAGTTTTACCCAAATCAACACTTTTAAGCGCCTCGAATCTCAACAGAACATTAACCAAGCTAAATTTCCATATGTTCGCCTGAGAAAAAAAAATAAAGAAATGAAAATGGCACCTGAAGAAAGGGAAGCCTAGCTGCAGCCTCAAAGAGAACAAGAACATCAGAAGCAGAAGTGTAATTCAACCGCCACGTGCCGTCAAGCCTCTCCAGCTCCACCGGCGACCCCGCATCGTAACCTTCCACCCCCACCTGATCAGTATCAACACAGCATTCTGACTAAAAATATTGCACAACTCATTACCACCAACCAAGCAATAAAAAAATACATAAATAAATAAATAAATAAATAAATAAGGGCAATTTAATTTTAGTTATATATATATACGAGGGCTTCTTCAATGGCCGAACGCTGGTCGGCGGTGGTGACGAGGCCTCGCTGGGTGTCTTGAACGGCCCTCAGCAGCTCATGCTTCTTCTGCTCCAATTCCAAGCCGCAGACGAGGGACTGGCCGCCGTTGTTGTTCTTGAGGCGCCGACGATCGATGGGGGCTTGTTTCTGCTGTTGAGAGATTTTGGAAATGGGGATGCTGGGATTGAGAGGAGGTGATGAGTTGGGAGTCTGATGAGCCCCATTTTGCCTTGCTGCCAAGACTCAGGATTGTTGGGTTGTGTGGAAAATAAGCTGCAAAGGTAAAAGTACGCAAAACCCAATTTTTTTTTATTTTTATAAAATACTTCTTTTCTTGGCAATATTTGAATATAACCACAATTTCCATCCATCTTTGTTTGTTTCGACTAATGGAAATTAAGTATTTATTCTTCAAACCTCACGATATCTTGACCAAGTTGTCCGTTTCAACTCAATTGAGATTACATATACGTACTCCAAAATTTGATTTTTTTTGTATAGGCTATAATCGAAGAATTTTTTTTTTTTACTTTTATTCCTTTTTAGTTTTTACCCTATGCTAATTAAGTACATGTATTTCAAAACCACAAGTCTTGTTCATTTTCATTGATTTGACCTAATCACAAGTAAGTTTGAGTACTTCAAAATTCATAATTTTTATAGTCTATAAGTTGCAATTGTTGTTCATTTTTGTTTGTTTTGATCCAATTACAATTGACTATGAGTACTTTTAAATTCAAAATTCATTTTCACGATTGTCGTAGCTTATAACCTATGATTATGCATACTTCAAAATTCACGATTTTTATTGTCCGGTTTTGTTTGTTCGACTAAATGAAAATTAAGTATTCATACTTCAAACTTCGTAATAGGGTTATGGTTAGGACGAGCGTTAGGGTTATGTATATTTATCTTTTTTATTCCTTTTGGTCTAATGACAATTAATTATGCGTACTTCCAAATATGTGATTTTTTATGAGCTTATAACACATGATTTTTTCAATTCCTTTGTTCTCACTCAATGAAAAATAAGCATACGTACTTCAAAATTCATAACTTCCATGGATCCCATGATTATCGTTCATTTTCATTCATTTTGATCTAATAGAAATAAGTATTCGTACTTTAAAATTTTATGATTTTCATGAGCTAACCCTCATTTTGTCCATTTTTCTTTGTTTTGATCAAACGCATATTATGCATACTCTAAAGTTTGTGATTTTCATGGCCTATAACTCATAATTTTCATCCAAATTTTTTCCAACCCAATGACAATTAAGTTTTGCACTTGAAATTTTACGATTTTAAGAAGCTTATGATCCAAGATATTTATCAAATTTTATTCTTGTCTATCCAATGGAATTTAAGTTGGCTATTTCAATATTTATGGTTTTCATGGGCTATATAACCCACTATTTTTGTCCATTCTTATTTGTTTCTAAAATTTATGATTTTCATGTGCTACAATCAATAACTTTTTTAGTTTCTTGTGAAATGGTGAATTTTGAAATCCTTATAATTATTTGTGCTTGGGTTGAATTGATTAAAAATGGACAAAAATTATGAGTTATACCTCATGAAATGGTGAATTTTAAACTCCTCATAATTATTTTCCATTGGATTGAAATGAACAAAAATTAACTAAAATCAATGCTTATAACTTATGAAATAATAAAACTTTTAACTCCACAAAATTTATTTTCACATTTGGTCGAAACGAACAAAAATGAATAGAAATCATGACTTTACAAGTCATAAAATTATGAATTTAACTTCAGCTTAATTATTTGTCATTGAGTCGAAATGAACAAAAATGAACAAAGTCATGTCTTATAGCTCATGAAGTCCTAAAGTTTTAACTCCCCCTAATTTACTGTCATTAAGTCAAATTGTATAGAAAGTAAACAAAAATCATGCGTTATATCTCTAATCATAAATTTTGAACTCTGCAAAATATTTGTCATTGAGCCAAAGTGAAAATAAACAGAGAAAAACCTTGATATCACTTTTTTAATTACCGGCCGGTTTGAATAAAAAGATTTAGTTGTATCTCGTAACACCACTAATTTAAATTTTGCTAAATGTGCTAAAGCCGCCCTTAATTTTGACTTTGGCGCACTAGTCTAATATCTCCGTATCTTCATTCACCACAAGTGCTGGTGAATTATCAGAGGCAATTTCTTAAGACAACTCATCTCTGCGCTGATGGCAATCAAACACAAGATCTTTTAATTAGTTATAGGACTTGGGAGAGTATTGGGAGAGTAATGCTTAGACATCTGGTCACTTTCCCTCTGTGGAATCAGCTGGATGCTCATAAATGGATTCAAGTCATGAAATTCAAGATTCACGTCGCAAAATAATATTACTTGATGGAGAACATCATGACATTCTCAGTTCACCTGTAGCTAAAAACTATATATACCGCACATTACACTTCATATATATCTTATTCACAACATGAAGCTAGCTAGGGACCTTTAAAACAAAACTTCTATTGTACATTTGGGATTTGGTTGCTGTTGAATTTGACACGAGGCTTTCCCATGCTAAAGTTCAGCATTCTAGCGTTCATGTTGTAGTTGATCTCTCCATCATAGAGCAGTTTGCGGATGTAATGCTCGATATCCGAACCGATCAGACGGAGTGTATACTCCGACAACGGAGCCCCCTGAAACCCACAGATCGAGTAAAAATTAGATACGTACAGGTACAGGTAGTAGTGGACTGAAATATTCACTAGCTAGTTATGTGAGCGCTAGCTAACCGTTACCTCATAGTGATCGACGAGCTCTTGAAAGTAGGCATAGACCTTCTGGCAGGACTCGGGGGTCCAGACGAACTCGTTGGAAGGGTCAAGGATGAGGGTGAGCTTGTCTGTCTGAGTCTGATCAAAAGCATGAGTCACCGGGTCGATGTAGGCAGCGTAGATCCTGACGTGGCGAGTGACGCTGCTGAGCCACTGGGACCCGTACTCTCTCGTCATGTTCTTGCTCTTCGCGAACGGTTGGGTTGGCTGCTGCTGCGTTCTTCTTGGTTGCGGTTGTGGCGGCGCTTGTTGCTGTTGTTGTGGATTACTAACGTTCACTTGATTTTCTTCTCTTTCTTTTTCCACCACTACTTGTTGCTGTTGTTCTAGCTCCTGCGGCTCTTCGGTTTCCACCTTTAATGCTTCTTGTCGTCCAGCTTTTGACGCTAGAGAAACCGTTGGGGGAGAGGAAGGAGGCTACAGAGGCCATGGTTGTGTTTATGAGTTGATCTGAGTTTGTGATTTGCTGATTTCTTTTGTTTAATTCTTCTCAGGTTGTGGTGCAGTTTTTTTTTTCCTTGTTTTGGTCTGAGTTTGTGATTTGCTGATTTCTTTTGTTTAGTTGTGTTAGCTTGAAGCAGCAGCAGCAACCACTCTTTTTTGTCTGTGGATAAGGAGGTTCTTGGTGCTTAAGGGGGTGATGAATACAATGAAGTGGTCGTTAATTATAGATATACGCCTATCATATTCTATCCGCGCGGTGGGAAGGGAATAAAGGATCCGCTACCGACCGCGAAAATTCTTAGGTGCTAGCTTTGGGAAACATGTAACTTGGTAAATTGTGAAGGATGAGCTTGGAAAGTGTTGTGCGCAGCGGAAATTTCGGCAGAGTTTCTGGTGCACAATAAGAGAGAAAGATCAATAAGAATTCATGTCTCACCAAGGAAACAAGAATCTGAAGCGGATATCTCAACAAAGTGAGATATCGGCTCTTCCTCTCATCAGTTCTAGGACTGACCTGTCGAGGGATCCTAAAAACTATTACAATGACCACAAACTCAAACAACCAATTTTTACGTGGTTCGGCAAACTGCCTACGTCCACGGGGCAAGAAGGGGGGATCTACTATTAGAGAGAAAAATACAATAGGTTTACACTCTCATAAAATAAACCCTCTCAAACTAACTCTCTAATCTCTCACAAAATCTCTCTCAAAGGGGGATACACAAACCCTTGCTACAGCCTGCCTTTTCTTCTCTGCACCCAGCCGCCAAAAGAGAACAGATTTTTTTTCTTTTTTCTTCGCTTGCACAAAACCCAAGGACACCGAAAAGGGCTATATATATAGCTGCAACAATGTTTCGAGTGGGCCTTCTTTTTGTACGCTGAACAAACTCCTCCCACGAAAGAACTCATGGCCTGCTGGTCTTCTCCCACAAAAAGACTCGTGGCCCCAACTCTTGTTTTTAAACATCACGCGTTTTCTATCTCAACTGCAGCTTGAATTGTGGGCCCCTCACATGTGCGTTCCCATCAATCAACAATTCTCCACCTCGGTGAAGTTTTCTCAAAACTTAGCCGACACCGACCAAACCAAATGTCTCACTTGTTGTGTCCAGTGCGAAGTGAAACAATTCACGACAACAGACTCAATCCATAACAAGTCGAGAACCCAAATGAGAGTGCAAAAACTCTCTAAATATCGGTATCAACTTACCAAATCGATCTCAATCCCATCAAAATCCATCTCGGCTGCATCATAAAGACTGCCTACGTATCCTCTTGCCCAAGGAATCAAGCCTTACGTAGTTCATCCAAATGGCCTCCAAATGCCTCATTCCACTAGAAGAGTTCGCAACCCTTCTCCATTATCATCAACTCTGCGGCTGATAGCACCTCCAATGGCCTCAAACACCTCCACCTGAGGTGAACCAATGGTCATATCCAAACTGCATCTATCAGCTGCACTCGAGTCAAAACCCAACTCATCATCTGCATCCAAATCCAAATGACTTGCACGCTGTGTCACCTCAGCTGGAATCCCAACCAATGCAGAATGACCTGGAGTATGTGGGAAAATCCCCACCCAATGTGGAGTAGCATCAATCTCCACCCGCTGCAATACCTCTAAGATCTGTCCAAAACTCTCCACCTGCTGAGAGTCAATTGGCTTCCTCATCGAAGCCTCCACCAATGTGACACTACCAGACCTATCTTCCAATGGAGTTTTACCTCCAATCACAGCAGTTGACAACTCTTTAATAAGAAACTCTTCTGCAAACTATTGCTCGACCACAAACACCGATCCTCCTCTAGCAAGGCACGGTTCTCCAAATTTGTCATCTTATCTAGTTGCCCCAAGATTTTATTTCTAACGAAGTGTCTCGCAATGCCGTGAGCTCGGCTCCAATACAGAAACAGGTCCATCTTGTACCTCCCATCAGAATGGAGTACCTTCACCTTTCTGTCTATTACACACTTCTTCAAACCGTTAGAGACTACTAGGACTTTATCCATAGGGGATTTGGTTGCAACCCAAACACGCCTAGAACAACCACCAACAAAGGAAACCAAACACCTATTACCTCCCAATGATGCCCCATTGGAAGGCCCCCAAACATCCACGTGAACTCCTCCAGAATGACCCTTAGCACGGTGAATAGAAGTGCCAAACTTCATCTTGGTCTTCTTGCTCACATCAACATGTTCACTGGACTTCAAATTGCAGGTCTTTACACCCTCTTTCAATCTATGCGAGGAATCAATACTGGAATGGCCAAGCCCCAAATGCCGCAGTCTAGTCGAATCAACAGAAGCCGTCAGCTCTCCACCTGTCACTATACCTCCAGTCAAGTAATACAGGTTATTCCTCCTGACGCCCTTCATCAAAATACGAGAGTCTCTCACAATCTCAAGAACCATGTCCTTAACACGAACCTTCAGACCCTCTCCAACCAAAGCTCCAATTGAGATCAAGTTTTTCCTCAAAGAAGGAACATATCTCACATCATTTAACTCCCTAACAGTCCCTTCAAACATCTTTATGCGAATTCTTCCTATCCCAAGGATCTGGCATGCACGGTTATCAGCCATGTACACCACACCACTATCCACCAGCTTCTCAAAACTGGAGAACCATTCTCTTCTAGGGCACACATGATAGGTCGCACCACTATCCAACATCCATTCAGATTCCTCCGAATAGCTATCTGTAGGACTGATAGAAAGCGAATAAATAGAAGAGTCAGAATTATTACCATCCGATACGATGTTTGCTTCTGATGATGGTTGCTTCCCTTTTCCCTTCTGCTTATTCTTCATCCATTCGTCGAGCTTTGGGCAGTCTTTCTTCCAATGACCAGTCTCCTTGCACCAAGCACACTGATCTTTTCCTACTCTAGACTGTGACTTCCAATTCTTTCGGTTTGGACCCTTCCCTCTTGCGACCAACGCCTCCGCTACCGGCTCAACCGAAGCCTCCTTATCCTTCTTTCGAAGCTGATAATTCACAAGTGCAGCAGTGACCTCACTATACGAAAGTGACGCCTTCCCATTAATCAGAGTAAGAACGAAGGTCTCATATTCCTCGTCGGGCAAGGAACTCAACAACAACAACGCCTTGTCCTCATCTTCAATCACGACATCCACATTCGCCAAATCCGCAAGAAGCTTAGTGTAGTGGTTCATGTGATCTCTAATGGAGGTTCCCTTCTTCAATTGGAAACGGTAAAGCCTCCTCTTCAAATGCAAGCGATTTTCCATACTCTTGGTCAAATACTTGCTTTTGAGAATCTCCCAAATCTTCTTCGCAGAAGTCTCATTCATCACATCATATTTTAGATCTTGAGTCAAACAAGACCTAATTATACCACACGCCGTTCGATTCATCTTTTTCCAAACATTCTCTTTAATCTCATCTGGCTTGCCATCTAACTCCAATGTATCCTCCAAATTCTGCGCGTTCAGCGCATCCAAAACCTCGCATCTCCATAATCCAAAGTTGTTTGTGCCATTAAATTTCTCCACATCTATCTTCATAGAGTGGATATTCAAACTCTGAATGGTCTTCGCGCCAGAAGCACCACCCTCGACACCCGAAGCACCTTCTTTCCCCGACATCTTACGCACCAACGAACAAAGAATAGATCCAAAACTGAAAGATAGAGTCTTTACCAAAAGATCCCATGATCTACTCCTCCAAATAGCCCAAGCGTAGCCCGAGCTCTGATACCACTTGTTGTGCGTAGCGGAAATTTCGGCAGAGTTTCTGGTGCACAATAAGAGAGAAAGATCAATAAGAATTCCTGTCTCACCAAGGAAACAAGAATCTGAAGTGGATATCTCAACAAAGTGAGATATCGGCTCTTCCTCTCATCAGTTCTAGGACTGACCTGTCGAGGGATCCTAAAAACTATTACAATGACCACAAACTCAAACAACCAATTTTTACGTGGTTCGGCAAACTGCCTACGTCCACGGGGCAAGAAGGGGGGATCTACTATTAGAGAGAAAAATACAATAGGTTTACACTCTCATAAAATAAACCCTCTCAAACTAACTCTCTAATCTCTCACAAAATCTCTCTCAAAGGGGGATACACAAACCCTTGCTACAGCCTGCCTTTTCTTCTCTGCACCCAGCCGCCAAAAGAGAACAGATTTTTTTTCTTTTTTCTTCGCTTGCACAAAACCCAAGGACACCGAAAAGGGCTATATATATAGCTGCAACAATGTTTCGAGTGGGCCTTCTTTTTGTACGCTGAACAAACTCCTCCCACGAAAGAACTCATGGCCTGCTGGTCTTCTCCCACAAAAAGACTCGTGGCCCCAACTCTTGTTTTTAAACATCACGCGTTTTCTATCTCAACTGCAGCTTGAATTGTGGGCCCCTCACATGTGCGTTCCCATCAATCAACAGAAAGTTCGTATTTGCTTATTTCCAATTACTTGGACATTAAACAGTTGTCTATGGAAGTTTTAGTTGAATTTTAAGCTGTTCATATGCACCAACAATCTAGGCAAGAATGTCAACCGTGTTTCTGTACTTAATCCACAAATTTGGCCCAACTTTGCTTGATTCGACCAAATACGCTTTAATTAAATTAGGTTATAAATCTTCGATTTTCGTGAGCTTGAATCCATGATTTTTATTCAATTTTGATTATTTTAACATAATGATAAATAATTATGCGGGGTTCAAAATTCATGATTTCATGGGTTATAATTGTAACGCCCCACCCCGGAATCCCGGAGTCGGTACGTTATTAGATCTGATGGACTGGCCTCACAAACCACCACATGTCTTTTTAGCACGTTTTGTCCTCACTCACGTGCTCCCTGGAAAACTTCCCAGGGGGTCACCCATCCTAGAATTTCTCCAGGCCAAGCACGCTTAACTTTGGAGTTTCTAAGAATCGAGTTTCCGAAAAGAAGATGCATCTTGATGGTATGAGTATTCCAATCAAATCTATCAATACTAATCATATCACCCTCTCAAGGGTTAGGGTATTACAATAATTTACTATTTTAGTCCATTTTCGTTTATTTCAACCCAATGGCAAACACTTAAGATGCAGAGTTCAAATTCACGATTTCATGAATTGTAATTCACGTATTTTATCAATACTTGCTCATTTTGACCCAATGACAAATAATTTTGAAGAGTTCAAAATTCATTTATAACCCACGATTTTTTTCAGCTTTTCTTCTTTCG